AGTTGTTTATTTGCACTTTAATTTTGTTAAAATTGTAATGGTCTAATAATTTTGAGGTAATCCAACGATTGATTTCGAATAATATTTATTAAATAGTTATTTATATTTAAATTATAATTTAAAATAAGTAAGTGTTGCTATTTTTATATTTTTTTTATTAGTTGTTCTTAATCGATACTCTTTAAAGGCGGAATATAGCAAACCATGTATGGGAGTATTTTCATTTTAAAAAAAATCAAACTTATACCCAACAAGACTGCGAGCAGCCATTAGTTAATTTATGAGTTAACAGGACACACAGAATAGAGTTAAAGAACAGTTAAAGCAAACAGAAGACCTAAAAGTTGTTTCAGAAAAAAATGAAGAATGGAGAAAATATAAATGCACTAGTGTTCAAGGAAAAAAACTAGACGAGTGAGAGTTTCTTGAGCATTAAAGAAACCCTTACAGTTATACAGTGTAACCTTGCTGAATTGTACGTGGGATTGAGTATTTGCTATAAGAATAAGTGATGATAGCTCGCTTGAGCAGCGACTATGGTAATACTTGTAGGGAAAAAAAAATACAAACTTACGAAATGAGACAGAGATTTAAGCTTGAAAGTTACTGCAGGTCCAATAACATTTACGAAGTGTTTTTTTGACATTGTCTAAGAAAGAATGAGGGTTTTATTAAAAGATGCAGGCTAAATATAACAACAATATTTCATACAAGATCAAATTAACAATTTATAGAGCTAGGGAATGGAATAAGGAGTACAAAAATGGCGAGTACGATAAAGACAAGAAATCTTCACAAGTAACTTTGCAATTGGTTGTATATATACTTTCCGTGAGTGGTCAGAACCGAAATCCGTATTAATTGTTAGAAAACAATTTTTTTTACTCAAGAGAAAATTGCTAATAATAGTATTAGGAAGAATAAATTAGCGATGTTAGAGAGCAATGGACGATGTTTGAGGACGTTAGGACGTGGACGTTAGGACGTGGACGTTAGGACGTGGACGTTAGGACGTGGACGTTAGGACGTTAGGTCATGTTAGTGGAAGTAATGAGATATCAAAAAGTAATTTTATTTAGTGAAAACAAATTTGCATAAATTTGGTTTGACAGCAACCAATTGTTTTGTTTTGGCAAATTTTCGGCAAATTTATATTAAAAAAAATTTGCCGAAACAAAACAATTGGTTGCTGAAACAAAATTTGAACTTACAACAATCTGAAAAAGGTTTCTCTGACTGCTGCGACCAAAATATCTCCTTTTTTGATGCACTTTCAATATATAATAAGTTGTCTTTAACTTTGTTATGTTGTCAGACATAAATTGATTCTATCTACTGTTACAACGGTTGTCGTTTAAGTAACAATTTCGGAAAACCAGAAGTAGTAGGGAATTTAAAATTTTATTGTAGTTGAATAAAGAAAATATTCAAACACTCGTCCTCAACTGTCTTTGCACTCAAAATGGACTTAACAAGCTTGTAAAAATTCATGAATTTGATTCTTTTGTTAAAGATGGAGCTGAGAAGTGAAACCAGTTCTCATTTATACAGCTCTACACATAACGAATGCTCTTGTCATTCTACATAACAAATAACATTTAAAATCAAAACTCGCCTAGATAAAGATTAATTAATGGTGTTGCGCAAAAAGAACTCCATTAGGTTACTAACTTTCTGGTTTTTACCTCCACTATGCTTTAGTGCTTATTTTCTCCAAATTTGATATTTTTTTAATTAGTCATGTAAAACAATTAATGTTAGGCAAGAAAAAAAATTTGTGTTTGCTTGTATAGAAATATGATGGGATATTATTATAGAAGAGTTTTCAACTGTGTCTGAATACATTAATCTGTCTCATTGAACCAGACCATATTATGCTTAATCAAGAAAATCTTTTATTAAAAGATAAAAAATGGTTGGCCTATCAAGATCGTCACCGATCACGTGCTGACATGTCAATACTTTACTCATAATGAAAATCTGTCAAAATTATAGTTTTTTAGAGCTAAGGAGCTTATATTCGTTTGTAATTCCACCTCGTTTTTTTAGCTATTTTAATGTAAATCTAAAGGATTTCTACAAGAAGATATGCATTTAAGATATGTTTTTAAACAGCTTCTGGACATTCTCTTTCTACTATCCAACAGTAATCTGCCATCATTGCACCATCAACCCTGGTATCATTCTTCCATCCTAGCTATCTCCTGATGTATAGATACTGTAGCTTCAATAAATACTCCTAGTACTTGTTCCCCTTTATCAAAGGATATAGAAAAAATTCTGCGTCCTTAGACAGTTGCATAGATTTATCTTATGGTATATGCGTTGCCCCTGGCCCCCCAATATAGCCTTCGGTTTATCTTCATTCAACTTTGATCTGGCAGGTCTTTGTCAAAGTCTTATCAAAGGCTTCTGCGCAAAACTTTTGGTGACAAAAAAGTTGGACAAAATAAACACAAGCAAATATTTTTAGTATATTATTTTATTTTATTATTATATTTTTATTACACTTTAGTATAGTGCAAAATGGCTTAGCCAGGTCAAAATATCTAATTATTATCACTTTGATGTTAATTAATACTAATTTATGTTAATTAAACCTAATTCACACCAGATTCTTATTCTTATTCTTATTTAAATATAAAATTAATATGCTACCAATTTTTTTTTTGAAATATTTTTGTCATCATTTTCTCAAAGTTAAATTCTGCGATCAAATAATTATTATATTAAAAAAAACTAAAACCGGGGTTCTGAATTTTAAATTGTCACAAGGCCCCAAAACATGGGAAAATCAAAAATTAAAAGACTTAAATGAAATATCGTCGTTTAAACGGCAAGCAAAGCGGCATATTCTTGGATTGTAAAAATGATTGTAATAAATAAATAAAAAAATATATATATAAAAATTTAAAAAAAAAAAAATGTAATAAAAGTAGAAATAGTAATTACAAAGCTAATTACAAAAAAATTATTTCTAAATTTACTTAAATTAACTTCTTTTATAGCCATAGATATGACACTGTTAAGGGAATCTGCGAAATTTTTTTTTTTAGTTTTATACCCAAAAATGCTGAATCTTCTTTACTTTCTTTTTCTTAGGTATTAAAGTTAAGAAAAATATATATATATTTATAATAGTTATTAAACCAAAATTTATCGATCTGATACGTAACATATTTTTTCTTTTTATATGGTATACCTGGAGAAGAAAAAAAACAAATAAAAATGAAATACAAAATCTTTTGATGATGCAACAATTTTTATCTACTGTTTAGTTAATTGCTTGTGCCGCTAGAATAATAAATGGTTGAGAATTTCACGAGAGATCCAGGTAATCAGACAAAAATATTTTTTCGAGGTATTCTACATTTTTTGGTGCATTATTTGGTTGAACTGAGTAAAATCCAGCATTAGAAATTTTGTTTGTATGTTTAATTGTAAAACACGATTCATCAATCAAATGGCGACATTCATCGCATTAACTGCTCTAATTGTTTATCAGTGCAATCAGAAATTTATTTTTAAAAATAAATAATACGTTTAATATTGTTTTAATAAACAATAAATAACACGTGTTTGTTTTTAAGGTTTTTACGTTTTGGAAAGGATCACATTTGAATTTTTTTGCAACGTCATTTGTTCAAGAAACCTTTTAATTAATGCAGCCATAGTTTTTAGTTTTCTGCCTAAAAGATTTCTGCTTAAGCATACGAGACGTCGTATGCTTAAGCAGAAATTGTTTGCCTGTTCAGCTATAGGTTAGTTACATTCTTTAAGACTGTTCTTTCGGCCAGGAACTTATTAAATCCCTTCAGGACTTTATTTTGTGTTGGAATATTTTTGCTGCATTTAAAAGCAAATGGCTTTATTCTAAATATAAAGATATAAATAACATGGCAATTTATCTAGACATTTATTAATTCAATTCTAATCGAGAAATTTATCATTAGTGGTTCAAAAAGCACAACAAAAAAATAACAACAAACTGATTTTAAATACTGTTTACGAATTTTTTAAACTTCCATTTTTTTATTTGCAATGCTTTAATTGCTTATGAAGTTTTGAAACAATATCATTGGATAGCTTTTGTTAAAAGTGGAATGTGATCGGTTAACTTTAAATTCAGTTCAACTCTTTTATATAGCGCTATTATAAACATAAAAAAACATCTAAGAGTAAGAATCTCATAGTAAAATTTTTTTATTTAGTAAAATTGGGAGTAAAAATTTCATACACGTTTTTTTACTCCGTGGGACAAATTTTATATCAGATTTTTGTTGGGGAGTAAAAAAATCACGGGAGTAAAAATCACCGGCGACGGGAATAAAAATTAATCACGGGAGTAAAAATCTCATACTACACCGGCGACGAACAACATGATTAAGCCAGAACTCTAACCACTGCGCCACGGCACAATATAATAAATTAAATAAATTATCTCACTTATCTACGAAAGATAGGCGGTACTTTTATTCGATAGATAAAAAATAGAACACTAAAGTTTTGTACTTAAGGGATACTCAACATAAATATCAGTTTCTGCACCAAAATGTGCCATATTGCACTATAGTGTAGAGTAACTGTAGAAAAGAGAAAAGCCTAAAACATTTAGTGAAATAAACATGAGTATATCCTTATTTTTAATCGCATAAAATTTATGACTTTTTCAACTTGCGGCATACATATGAAAAAACAAGCCATCAACAAACTGTATGCGCTACATGTAGCGCATACAGTTTGTTGTTGGCTTGTTTTTTCATATGTATGCCGCAAGTTGAAAAAGTTACGTTACGTCATACATTGTTTATTGTATACAATAAACAATGTATGACGTAACGCTTATATAACATCCGATAGACATAATTTATTTTAACAAGAAACTTTATATTCGTCTACTTTTTTTATAAATTAAAATCTATAGCAACTAATAATTACAATAATTATAAATAAAACAAATAACTATCTATATTTAAAATACTGTTATCAAAAAAAACAAGAAAAAAAAAAAAATTAAAAAGGTTTTTTAAATTGTTTACTTGAAAAGTATATATCTGGTCAAAATAGTCGAAAAAATAGTGGTAGGTAAGCAATAATTCGCTTAGAGCTGAAAATTGGTACAGACGTTGGGAACATTATTAAAAATAAATTCTGAAAGTCCCCACATATTCAACATCTGCAAAAAAAGTTATTCAAGGTAAAACAATAAAATCTTATGCCGATTTGTTAGTGCATTTTGATATCTATAGAAAAAAAAAGTTTCGGATTTTCTCTGATCTTGGATTAGAACAACAAAATATTCCAAAGTTTTAGGTTGTTTTTTTTTTTGTTTAGCCGTTCTAAAATAAATTACATTTAATTAAAATTGTGTTCTTATAATTGTGATATGTTAAAAAAAAGTTTAAGAATATTAATTTGTTATAATTATTATTTATCAGTTTTTTTTAATATATATATATTTTTTAAAGCCATTTTTATGAACCCCGTTAAGAAATATAATTAGCTAATATTCTTTTGCGTGTTTTTATAAACTAAATTTTCTTTTTTAAACTAAGTTTTAAACGCTAAAAGTATTACATTGTGTTTAAATAAAGTTTGTTTTAAACGATTTTCCGTCTGGCTTTTGCAGTTAATACTTTTGGTTATTGTTAAATATTTCTCATAACGATTTGTACTACCTAATACTTTTTTAAAATTATCGCAATTATGTTTTATTTGCAGTAAACTTTTAACAACAAGTGAAACAGATCGTGGAATGAAGACTTTAATAGATTCTAGAGTTGATAGGAATGACAGGCTTCTTGAGTAATGACCAGAAGTCTATGACAATTCATGTGCAGTGCCATAAAGTGCATATTCGGAAGAGTGCTATAGCTTCATTTAAAAAACAGCAACAAATAGATCATGCCAGTACATCTAAAATTAGTAAACCTCCTACCAGAGCTCGCGTGAGTGAATCCAATTTATTTTTTTAATATATTGTTTATTTTGCGGCGATGAAGCGATTGAAGATGTTGAAAAAAAGAAAGCACAAAATGTTTGGCGTAAAATTTATAAAGTTGTTATCCTTGAATTCAAAAAATAATCGGAGTTGTTCTTTTTTTTTTTCTTTTTTTTTTTCTATTTATTTTGCTGTTTAACAATAAATAATCAAACAAATATATATATATATATATATATATATATATATATATATATATATATATATATATATATATATATATATATATATATATATATACATATATATATATATATATATATATATATATATATATATATATATATATATATATATATATATATATATATATATATATATATATATATATATATATATATATATATATATATATATACAAGAAAGAACAAATATGTTCGTAGAACAAAAATGACAGTAAAATCTTGTCAACAAGCACCGTTTTTGTATATACATTATAAAATGCCTTTACAACTTTACTTCTTTTTACAATGATCTTTATAAAATAAAGAGTTAAACAGACCGGGGGGCTCAAAGAAAATGAAGATGACAATACGTCATCACAGTCTTTTCATAGAGCCTCTATATACACTTTCCATAGAATATAGATATTAAATTAAAAACTCTAATGGGCATAAAACTGCTGCGCTGATCAGTAAATCAAATAAAGATAAAATATAAAAAAAATTTAAAAAATAAATAAAATTCCTTGATGATTTCTTTAAGAACAAAAGATTCTCAAGTTTTAAAAATTTCTTTTTTTATTAGAAACTAAATTGAGTTTAATGACCTTGCCATACATTTAAATCCTTTTTGATAACTATTCCATATATCTGGTCCTCGATACGCTATGCTATATTCAGTATATTTATTAATGTTTTGAGGCAGTTTATATGTGTTACTTATATTTGCTCTTAGATAATAGTTTTTATTTATGTTTATTTCAAACTTGTTATTAAAGTTTGCAGGAGAGATATTATTATTGAATTTATACATAGAAATTAAATACTGATAGATATTTATTTAAAAAACATCCATCATTTTCATATTTTTCATTATAGGTTTAGCATGTTCACGCTTATTTTTATGTCTGTTGACGTAGCAAAAAATGTTACTGCACGCATTGAGTGTGAATATGATTTAGTTGCTACTGAGGCTATGATTGTCAGTTTTTATCGGAAGAGTCAAAAAGTATATGCAAAAAACTAGATTTAGATAACAGAACAATTAAGATACGATTGAAATTCAAGTATGGTAATAAAATTATTATCACTGACAAACCGGGCAGATTAACTTTCATTTATTTTTTTAACAATCATTGCGATATTCTTAACCAAGCTTGGTATGTAAAAAAAAGCCAAAATAAACGATTTCGAATCTTAAAAACGAAGAACGATTAACGAAGAACGATTAACAAATAAACGAAGAACGATTTCGAATCTTAAAAACTGCTGTAGCAGTCATTTGAAAGGACATCTAATCATTAGTCTTTGATAATATAATCATCATCTTTTTTTTTGAATTCTCAATTCGAAACTTTAATTAGGTCTCTTAGTATTTCTTCATTGACGGTTTGGTTTAAGACGCCTTAAAAAAATCTTTTCATCTTTTAATTTATGCGCATCCTACAATTTATCAGTTTAATGAAAAACTAAAAAAATTTGAAAAACGAAAATCTACAGCAAAACTATGGATACAATGTTTTATTACGGTGTCAATTACAAAGAAGTTTATTTATTAAATTACAAAGAGCTGAACGCATAGGAGATTGGTAAAGAACGCATGGGAGATTGGTAAGAATTTAAAGATTATTTAAAGAGCATCTTGTAGCTCTATATGAAGCTCCAAACAAAGACAATTACAGATATATAAGTTTTGTATAAAAATACACGGAACTATAAAAGAGTTCATTTATTTTGTCTTATTCCAACATCTGTTTCTGTCAGTCAACACTTATATCCAGTATACTATCAAGTTCAAGGTAAACAACTGGAGCCAGAAGACTGGGGTTGGAAATTAGTAAGTAATACATTGGAGCCAAATCAAATTTTATTCCCACCTGCTCCGGAAATACTTCTCAACACATCTTTTGCAATTGCAAAAAGGGTTGTAGTGAAAAATATAGCTGCAAAAAAGTGGGGTTATTGTGTTCACCAGTGTATTAATAGACGAGGCCAATCATTCTCCAATATTGAATCAATTTCAACAAATAAAGATTAGAATGATATTATTGATGAGACAGCTGGTATATCTTTTTTACATTTCCAGCTAGAATAAGAAGATGAAAAAGATGGAGATTAAGAAAAAGAAAAAGGCAAAGAAGATGCGCATACTTCATGCATTCTTTGTGCACATCTTCTTTGCTTTTTTCTTGTTCTTCATCTTCATCTTCCTCTTCTTCTTCTTATTCTAGCTGGGAATGTGAAAAAGATATATCAGCTGTCTTATCAATAATATTATCAAAATCTTTTGTTGAAATTGATTCAACATACATATATAATATTATATCGAATAATTTTATAATATAAAAAATATAATATATAAAATATATAAAAAAATACATAATATACAGATTATGTTGAATAAGAGTTCATCAATTTTATAATTTGTAATATCTCATGACTAGTATTTCTTAGAAATAAAAATATAAAGACAAATTTTGCAGATAAATTCATGATCTAAAACTTTTGCTTGATCTATTTTTTTTTTTTTTTTTTTTTTTTTTTTTTGATAAAACTTAGCGTTTACCGGAAAAATATAAAAAACCCATTTTTTTTAACCTTGAATCACTTTTTTCACAGATACAGGATTGGTGGGGACTTTTAATATTTTATTTGTAATAATTTCCCCAAGGTCTGTACCAAATTTCAGCTCTATGCGAATATTGTAAACTAAAATATCTATTTTCACCGACATCAAATACAAAACTTTATTAAAAAAAAAAAAAAATCAGTTAAACATAATTTACTAATCTTGCAATTTGGTTCAACTGCTTGTTGGTTAACGGACTACGCAAACCTACAACAATGAATGTGCAAAACTTTTCAAGTCTTTCTTTTTATATCACTTTATGGTTAATTTATATATATTTGCGTTATTATTTCAAAATAATAACGAAAAAAAGGAAAACCTTTACTGAAAACAAACATTTACTAATTACTTTGTTTAATTTTGGTTTGTTTTTTTAGTTTAATAATGAAGAAGTCCAAAGTTCGTTAATTAAGACTTTTTATTTTAATATTTATAGACTTCGATAACAAGAAAAAACACGATTTGCTGAAATAAAAATATTATATAAAATGATGTTTACAAGACTTTATCTAAAAATGATATTTTACATTTTTTTATTTCTGTTTGTCATTGGAACTATCGTTTTTACTCGATTTAGCAAAGATTTGAAAGATAAATACAATGTATCACTATTTCATAGCGCGCAGTATATTTTACAAAATGGATTTTTCATGAAATCTGATAAAAACAATACACTTTTATTAAAATAAAACGTAGCAAAAGAAAACGAAACAAAAGAAAACGTAGCAAACGAATTTCAATCTTTATCTCATATTTATTACGATACAATTGAAAGGGATCAAAACTCCATTTACACGCTAATTATTTTAATATCATCATTTGTTGATCATAAAAATCGAAGAGAAAAAATACGAGAGTCATGGGGAAACCCCAAAATTTGGAATACGAACGACAAATTCATCATTGTTTTTGTGACAGGAAAAGTTGAACGCGCAAACTCAATGATAGAATTGGCCGAAGAAGCCAAAGTAACAAAAGATATTATTTCTCTGGATATACCCGAAGATTTTTATTTGTTAGCTAAAAAAGTTATTATTGGTTTTATATGGGCAAAAAATAACTTGAAATTTAAAGCAATCTTGAAAGGTGACGACGATATTTTTATAAATATTGATAATGCAATTAGTTTCATTAATCAGAATGAAGAAACTTACGGATACTTTGGACAAAAAATGCATAATCAACCAGTAGAACGAAGTGGTCGTTACAAATTGACAAAAGAAGAGCACGAAAAAAATGTCTTTGATCCATATTGTTCAGGAGGAGGATTTATTTTTACCAACGCTAGTGTTTACAAAATTATTCCATTATTTGATTTAGAAAAAATATTGCGAATTGACGATGCACATATTGGTGAACTAGCATTTCATACTGGTATGTTTATTTTTTTATATTTTTGGTATGGTTTTTTCCTAAATTTTTAGTTTGAGTTTTTTTTAAGTTTTTTTGTTTTCCCTTTAGTTTACGATGTTAGTGGTAATATGTATAATAAAATAGAATTGCGAAAGACTACAATGTATAAGCTGCTTTACAATATATACAAAACTGTTTATGTGATACTAGGTTTCCAAGAAGATCTAAACGGTTTTAAAATTGCAACCTTAAAAAAATAAACAAACGTCTTTAATTATGACATCTAGGGTGGAATGCAAGAAGCGAACTTGAGTCAAGCTCGACTTGAACTTTTACATTGCAACCAATAGCGACAGAGTATGGGTTTTTTCCTTAAAAAATACTCTGCCGCTATTGGTTACAAAGTAAAGTTTAAGTCGAACTTGACTCAAGTTTGCTTCTTGCATTCCACCCTTAAATATAGAAAGGGTCTAATATATTGAGTAAAACGTATAAACTAAATAATATACTAAAATACGAGTAATATACTAAAACATTAATATGAAGATAATAATAACCCATTATGCTGAAGATATAACACTATCGCATTTTAATTGCAACGTAAATAAAATCTTACAATGAATGAAGATTTTTAATTTAGTTTTTAAAATAGAGAGCGTAGTAGAAAAATTCAAACTTGCCAATTTATTTAACAGAGTGCGCAATATACTATAAAAAATTTATTTAACAGAGTGCGCAATATACTATAAAAAATTGATCTACAAAACGGTTAATTTAGAAAACTATTATTTCCCAATATGCTTTTGTAAATGTGTTTCATAAAATATTTGTCGTGAAATGCATAAAAAAATTGTTTGTTTTTTATATATAAGTAAAGCATAAAGTAAAAAATACATTAGGGTTCGATTTTTTTGTTTGTTTTGATAAGTTTAGGCTTAATATAAAATAATCAATAAATGTTTTCTCCAAAAAACATTTAAATCGAGATTTAAATGTTTTATAACAGTATTTCTTTTTACAACAATTTCAGAAACAAAAATTTCACACATTGCTTGATTGAAAACAATTCTTTGAGACGGAATGAAATCCATTTTGCTTCGTTTTGAATTAGCTTCGAATGAACCCATTTTGCTTCGTTTTTTTTTTAAGAGTAGATTTGTTACATTTGAACCAATACATCAGTATTAGTTTCATCTGTAAATGTTACACTCCTCAGTGTAAAGACTTTTTTGAGAGTCATTTATTTAGATTAAAAATAGTAGTGGTCGGTGAATAGATTTGTGGAACATCACAGCTTATATTTAGAGGTACATTTTACTTACTGTTTGACAAAAAGATTTTAAACTACTTTACAAAATTTTTTTAAAACCACAATGTTTCATTTTAGATTAGATTAAACAAAATTTAAACAGTATGGTTAAATGTTTATGATTAGATGGTTGTATCAAAAAGCTTTACGGTCTCATAAAAAGTCCCAGCAAAGTGGGGCAAGACTAAAAAGAGTCTAAAGTATTTTTTAATAACATAAAAAAATTTTTCGATCAAAAAAAAAAGTCAAAAATTAAGTGAAAATTAATTTATTGAAAAGGTGTTTCAATAAATTAAAAAAAAAAATGATTTTTTTAAAATAAATAAATAAAAAGATTTCAAAAGTTCTTTTTAACAAAATTATTTTGAAATGATTACTTCATTTTAGTGTTAAGTACACACATGGTCATTCAATTAAGAATAAAATCATAAGATCATTGGTTAGATCATTGTTTGTTTGCTCCCCTTTATAAAGGAATTACTAATTATAAATTATAAATACAGATTTTGATAATTTTTAGAGAACTTAGATTTTAAATAAAAAAATGTTAAAAGAGCATTTTTAGTATAATAAATATTAAAAATAAATCAAAAAATTGTATATCAAAATTGTTTTTTACATCAGGAATTGTTGCAAAAATGACAAATGGATTTTATATGTGGAATGATTGGTGCGAATATCTAAAAGACATCATAGTATCGCATCCAGCTGACGATCCAACATGCATAGACTTTTTGTTAAAAAGATCTATGATTGACAACGGAAAACTTCCTCGAGATTCTCGCGTGGAAAACCAAAAATTTTATAAAGATGTTTCTTTGTTATCAAAAAAATAAAACTGAAAAGGTTGTTGTTGCTTTATTTTTTATTTCCTGTTACTTATGATTAAAGCGATTACTTACAATCACGATTAAAGCAATGTGTAAGCTTGTCAATGCTTTGGTTGTAATATTATAAAGCTATACTTTTTATACTCTATTCTTTTAAAAAGAAATTTCCAGTTGACCATTTGAAAATAATTATAATTAACAGATGCTGTGTTGCTAATTGTATATCTATTTAATAATGAATTTAGTGGTGATTAAGTTCCACCCTAGTTTCCCCAGTATTCCCAGTTCTTTAAAAGATTTGTAAAAATTACAGTTTAGAGCTCTGTCTCAGAACCAAGTGGTTTGCAGTTCCGATGCCAGTTCCGGTTAGATAAATGATATTGGTAAAGAAGGAGGCATTAAATGTTATTTAATGCCTCCTTCTTTACCAATATTTAAATAGATGTAATTTTTGTTACATCTATTTAAATGTTTTTTTGCAACTTTTAGTGATAAGACAGTAAAGATTTGTAGGAGAACCTTAATAAACCAGATAAAAAAAAACAAAAACAAATAAAGTAAATAGAAATTAATGAGCCGTCACAAAGGTTTTTTTTTTTTTACTTATTATTATTTATTTCAAAAACGAACAATGTTTATATGTCTCCAGTTAATATAAATGTCCAACACTCATATTTACAACGTCTAAAGTGCGTTAACAATGCTGTTTTACGAATGCGCGTTTGACAGTGAGTTAAAACAAATTTAAAAATCAGCGGTTTATAATATAAAGTTATAATATTAAACTATGCATTTAAAAAATATACCCAAGTCCGTCGCACCACAAGGCTATTAGGGACTTGCTTTTGGTTGTCGTTGGAATATATTAAATATATATTAAGTGTTATATTAAGTGAATATATTAAGTGTTAATATATAATTATAATATAATGTAGTTGTAAGGAAACTCGCAGAAGACTAAGAGAAGTCTTTTTATCGAGAACTTTTAAATACAAAATAAACAAAAAATTGTATTAAAAACTAAAGTTGTATCTCATGCAATATGAATAATATTAATTATATGTTAAATTGAATTTTTGGTTTTATGATCAAACGGTTGATGCAATTAAAAAAAAGCAATTAAAAAATTAAAATTAATTCAGACTCAGCATACTCAAATTAGAAATAATTACAAATAAGAAACATCAAAAAATAATAAATACAAATAAGAAACATCAAAAAATAATAAATACAAATAAGAAACATTAAAAAATTTTTATAAACAGAATTTTTTTTTATTTTGTTATACTGTGTAATGAGTTGGGACAAGTCCGAACTTATATTTGAGCATAAATAAAATATTTTTGTAGATATTTGGTAGATTTGATAGATATTTAAAGCATTCAAGTTTTTAAGTAAAAGATCAGCATGAGTGAATTTATTTTTATTATAAATCAATCTTGATGCGTGTTTCTGGTGTATATATAGAGAATTTAGTTTAGATTTATTTGTACTTATCCAGGCAATATTAACATATGCTAGATAAGTCTGTATACAAGAAAAGTAGAGAATTTTTAGATTCTCCTGGGAAAGTATAGGTTTGAATTTGTAAAGTATGCCGATACTTTTTAATATTTTTGTATTTAATGTCTTTATATGGGCTTACTATTGTTTTCTTCAATAATTATCCCAAGAAATTTAATAGTTTTAGTTCTTTTGATGTTTTTGTTGTCTATTTTTAGTAATGATGGCATGCTTAGTATTTTGTGTTTTTTGTTGGTTGAAAAAGAAACAAGATGTATTACTTTTTTTATCTATTTAAAGATAATTTATTTACTGTAAACCAAATGTTCTTTCATCGGTCATTGTCAGTCATCATCGTTTCAAAGGTCATCGTTCACAGATTCGAAGAGATTTTTAATTGATGATGATGATTAAAACAAATTTGAGTCATCAAAAAACATAACTTCATCAAGTTTTTTTAATATTTTGAGTAATTTTTAAAGAGTTTAAAAGTCACAAAGTAATTTTTTTACTTTAAATATCCTTCAACCTTGATATAACATTGTGAATCATTGCACACCATTTGACATATAAGAAACTTTGATACGTAAGCTTTTAAAAATTTTGAAGTTGTTATATTAAAATGGAAGCTCATATTATGTTAAGTTAAATTAAATAAAATTGTACGGAATGGGCGTGTTCCGTAAGCCCATCAAAAGCTAGTCGGACTAGCTCGTGCATGCTTGCACGAAAGATAATGCCAAGTAGTAATTATGGTGATAGCTAATTGAATTTTGCTTTGAAGCAGTTAACACTTATAGAACCAAGGAGTTATAGTAGCTTAGTTGGAGGGAGAACACGTCATTTCTCAAAGGACAGTCTTAATAGTAACATAATTTCCTATTAAACATCGCGGAATAATCATAATTTAAAGTTAACCAATCACATTCCACTTTTAACAAAAGCTATCTAATCACATTGTTTCAAAACGTCATAAGCAATTAAAGCATTGCAAATGAAGTTTAAAAAAATTCGTAAACTTTTAAGTCAGTTTGTTGTAATTTTTTTGTTGTGCTTTTTGAACGACAAATAATAAATTTCTAGATTAGAATTGAATTAATAAATTTCTAGATAAGAATTGGTAGTATTTTTGCATATACTTTATATCTCTATATTTAGAGTAAAGCAATTTGCTTTTAAATCCAGCAAAAATACTCCAGCACAAAATAAAATCCTGGAGGGATTTAATAACTTCCTTGCCAAAAGAATAGTCTTAAAGAACGTAATTAACCTATAGCTAAACAGGCAAGTAAAAAATAAGGTTCAAATAGGTAATAGAGATTGTATAAAACTTTGATATTTATACCTATATTTGAGGTACGCAAGAAACAATTACTTTACCTTAATCATGATTTTTGTTTTAATTAACTACTTGATTGATCGAATAGTTGTTAAAAACATATCCAATAAATCTTTATTTTATTAATCAATTCCGATTACAACTCTCAAAGCTTAATGATTACATTTCAAAATTTTTTATTTTTTTGCGAATGCGCCATTTTGACTTGCTTCTGGAATAATTATACTACAAAGACTGTAACGCAATATAAATCCATTTTCGGCTTCGTTCTTCCTCCAGCTAAGCTATTTTACCTCCTTGATAGAACTGGCAATTTATTTTATTTCATTTTTTTTTATTCCTCCTTATGTTAATTTTTTGTAAAAATAGTTCTTAATTTATTGCAAATGATTGTTAATTTAATTACACATAAAACAGCCGTGTTAATTACACATAAAACAGCCGTGGCGCAGTTGTTAAAACGCTTGCTTTAGAACCAAGAGGTTTGAACGGTTCGCCTTCTTCCTTACAAATGACTTGAAATTTATCCAGATATGTTTTAGACTCTAAACATATCTGGAAAAATTTCAAGTCATTAGTAAGGAACTTTTTTAACAGAATTACATAATTTTATTTTTTACTGTGAGTTCGCTCAGATCTCTGAACATATTCTGGAAAAATTTCTAACTCTAATTTAGAGTTAGAAATATATATAATTATATTAAAAATTATATAATATAATTCTATTAAAAATTATATAACATAATTCTATTAAAAAGTACTCTAGTCTTGGTTTAATGGAAGTAAAATCTTTTTAAAGAAAATTTTAAATAAAAATTGAAGCGAATGTCAAACAAATCAGAACAAATAATAAAAATATACTCTTTTTTGTTTTGTTAAAAAAATATGACCTACAATTTTTATTCCTAATACACCAGTTCTCAAACAGAACACAAGTTCGGCCATTAATATATTGCGCAAAAAAGTCTTGGAGCGAATTTAGAAGGGTAAATACCTATTAACTCGGTTGCGAATCTTTTATAAAGTATGTAGAATCTACATAGAAAGGGCCGTATAAAAGGGCCGTATCAACAGTATAAAAACCTTTCGAACTTTTAAAAAATGTACTACTCATTTCAATGCTTCATCGTATGAATAATATTATTTTATCGTGTGCAGCTCTATGCAATTTAAAGCCAGCTTTAATTTAAAAAATTCTAACTTAAAAGTTAAAATATTTATTTTTAAAGTTGTAACAGACTCGCGAAGGAACGTAATTAAAATCGATTTTTACTTATTTAATTACATTACCATGGTTAATAGTGTAATGTCACACATGATAAATACATAGGAAAGAATATAAAAAGTCTTCTAGGCTAGAAGCCATTGCATCTATGTTTAAATAAAAACATGTTACATACGATTAAATTCAAATGTTTGGCAATTGCATTGCAATTCGTGCAAAACATGTTACAAATAAAAAACTACTGCGCGAATAATAATTTGGCAACGGAATGTAGTAAAATTTAAGTTTGGACCATATTTATATCTAACAAAAGTATTTATTTTTTGATCATATTTAATGATCTAGGCACGCACACCAAGTACTGAACTTTGTCATTATTTCGTAAAGTTAGTATATTTCTTTAATTTTTTTTAATGTTAGGATTTGCCTTTAAGTAGATAAATATTACAAAATAAATATATTACAAATATAATTAACGCATTTATGGATTACCCCATTATACTCATTGGGTCATCCATATACGTCACGGTAAATTTAACTTTTAAATAGAAGTTCGCTTGCTTTCTTGCGCAGATATTTAATTAAATATTAAAGGTAATATATATCTTAATAATTCTCTCTGGAAGAGTGCCTATGATCTCCTACATTTAAATAAATTACTTAATAGATGACCCCCGAGTAATTTATATTTTAGCAAATTAGTTTTCTTTAAAATCTTCCAACGCAATCACTATCAAAAATAAAAAAAATAATTTTTTGAGAAATATTGAACATTTTTTGGATTTTTTTTATTATTCATAACTAACTTAAAGTTATTTCGAATGTTATATAGTATAAAAACAATCAAATCAAAATGTATAATTTAACAAAATCAAGCGCTAAACGAAAAAGTCAAAGACTGGGCAAATTTCAAAGCAGCGTTAAATTTTAACACACTAGGGTACAATTTTTTTAATTTTGATTTCAGCTGTACACTAATCATATTTTGAATATATACATAATTGTTATATATATATGTTATATATACATATATGTTATATATATCTAGTAGTTGTTCACTAAATAACTTTCGAAACAAGCGTTTTTTTAATTAGAATATTTCTACATAATCATTTTTACGCATGAAAATCAGCATCTCCAAAAAACAACACTCGAAATTAAATTATGAACAAAATACCAATATAATGCTACTGCTCTATCGTTTGCTACAGACTTTAGGTTAGTCAATAAATACTTTATTTATATTACATACTAATTAGACGTTAAGCATTTAACCCTATCTATACTTATATTGCTTGTTACTGACCAAACTTTTACATGCAACCTCTCAATTAACGACTACAATGTAACAACCTATATAAGAATGTATTAACAGTAAGCGTATTAAAATATTTGTTTTATTTAACAAATTGATAAATATTTTCAATAATAAACTTTTTGAATTTTTATTTGATATAAAGTATATTGTATATTTTGCAACAAAGCTTTGCTTTTGTTTTGTTTCTAAAATAAATTATCGCTACAATATCAACGATTAGAACCGATATCAACGGTTTTTGATTTGCATCGCAGCCACGAAACAATGCAAAACCAAAATATGCACCGTCGAGAAACCAAAATCGAACTTCATGTTACAAAATGCGATAATATGCAAGAACTTAATCGAAATTCATGATGTGAAATGCGATAATAGGACTAAAATCGAGTACCATGTTGCAGAACGCCATATTAAGCAAGATTAAAATCGAACTACATATTAGGAAATGCAATAACTAAAATCGAATTTCATGTTGCAGAATGCGGTAATATGCAGTTATATCTAATACTTCGTAATGTCCAGTTCTCTGATTATTATAATACAAGCGATCATTAAGAACTTTTTTTGGATCAAATCCTTCTGCCTTTAATTGATTTTTTTTCAGTTTAAAGGTGTTAGTCTGTGAAATATTTTTTTCAGAAGATAACCTAATGAACTGGGGGCGAGCATAATTTGGTAATTTATTTAATAGTTCCGCTCTCAATAAACTTAAATCAACAGTAAAATCAGGATCAGCAATACATGTCATGGCGGCTTTTCCTTCAATTCCTAAAAACAATAAAACATCTACTACATATACAAGTATTTATTACATAAATAATACATGTATGAAATAAATTATTGTTAGATTTGTAATAAATTTATTCAGTAAAACAACACCAAACATAACAAATATATATATATATATATATATATATATATATATATATATATATATATATATATATATATATATATATATATATATATATATATATATATATATATATATATATATATATATAAACAACTTTATAATGTAACAGAGCAATAATAAATCAGTAGAAAATCACTTGACAAAAATTTTTCATTTTACACTGTCTTTTATCAATATAGACTCATCAAAAATCAAATGCTACTATAAAATAAAACACCTACTATTTTTCATATAATATATGTTTCATCTACTATAAATTTCATTTCTGATGAGTCTTTATTTATGAAACTGTGTTAAATAAAAAAATTTTGTTAGGTGATTTTCTACTAATTTATATATATATATATATATATATATATATATATATATATATATATATATATATATATATATATATATATATATATATATATATATATATATATATATATATATATATATATATATATATATATATATATATATATATATATATATATACATATATAAATATATATATATATATATATATATATATATATATATATATATATATATATATTTATACACATAAATATATAGAATAATATAGAAAATTTAATAAAATTTTTTATACTCTCTTAAATTTTTAAAATTTGAAAGTAAAAATTTGTTAAATTCATTAAATTAAATAATCAAAATATCAAATTTGTTAAATTTATTGCTTAGTATACACATCTTTATTATTTATTAAGTAATATAAATTGGCATTAGACAAAAAAGCGGTATAAGATGAATAGTGGAATAAAAATCTCCAAATTTTCATGGTAAAAAAATTAAATTTACTGTTTTTAATTATAATATTATTTTCGTGTTCAAAATTAAATAATTTTAATATATTAATCTTTTTATTATCATTTACATTACTTTAAAAATTCGTTTTTGTTTTTTCATAGTCAATTCAACCTTATTTAAAAAAATTTGAAATTAACAATTAAATTGTAGTCAAGCAATTTTAAAAATTATGAAATTAATAATTTAAGAATAATTATAAAACATAAAAAAACATAAAAAATATATTTTATCAATACAAACAATAACAACTATAAAACATTTAAATAATTAAAAATCAAAAGTTAAATTCTCACAACGTTAAAAAACAGAGAACCCTATTATTCTAATGTCACGATATATATATATATATATATATATATATATATATATATATATATATATATATATGTGCCAACTCAAATGCTTATATGACAGCTTCGGGTGGGTGGGGGTTGGTACAGCCCTATATATATATATATATATATATATATATATATATATATATATATATATATATATATATATATATATATATATATATATATATATATATATATATATATATATATATATATATATATATATATATATATATACATATATATATATATATATATATATATATATATATATATATATATATATATATATATATATATATATATATATATATATATATATATATATATATATATATGTGGGAAATAAAAAGAATCATAGATAACTTACTTTTACAATATGGAATACCAGATTGTAATAAAAAAAAAAATGCATAAAAACGGATTTCATACAATTTTTTAAAAATATTTTTCATTATAACAAATAATTTGATGCTTACAATATTTAGTGGTAAATCATTTTCATTGTTTTATGAACAGATTTAAGATTATACATATTTCTTATAAATTATACATATTTCTTATAAATTATACATACCACTACCGCAAATATGCGACAGTGGCGTATTGGTAGAGAGCTCGCTTCATAAGCAAGAGATTCCGAGTTCGATCCCCACCACGCCTATGGAAGTACCATGCTCAACTTGTTTCTCCACGCAGAGGCCTTGTTCTTCAAGGTTTGTGTTAGTTACTAGTCACCTAAGATGGTTAATTAGTGTCAAGCAGTCTTTCACTGAGAAAAATTAAACTTTCACTGAATTAATCTTTCTCGAAGCATGTAAATTTTTGTTTTATTTTACTTTTAAGATTTTTTTGTTTTATTTTACTTTTAAGAGATTAGTTGTATTTTAACTAATCTCTTGGAGTTAGTTATAGAACAAGAATCAATAAAAAAAAGGCTTCATATAATTGACATTCTTATTTCAGATTGTTGAGAAGAAATCATTTTTAACAAGTTTGGTGTATTTTTTCTATACCTATCTATTGCAACTTCTAAAATTTTATTCATAAATACAAGATATCCTTGAGCTGGTTATTTTTATTTTTGAAATCTTTTTGAATGGTTTGAAGAGTATAATACTTTTATACATGACGAAAGTTAAAATAATTCGATGTAACAACAAATGTGTCAAACTGCCACGTGGTATTATTTCAAGGTCAGTTTGTGTTGCTGTGACACAAACTAGTCATATATAAAACAAAAACGCCCACAACAATGTTAACATATGCACATCAATGAAGCAATTCGGAACCATTAAAATAATTAAGTGTCACCAGCAAACTAAGTGTTGCTTCACCCATGCGCCTAGTCGAATATTCAGTCTTTAAAATATTCAGCATAATCATAATTTATGACGTCTCTAATATATACAGCAATTTCCTGGTTATTCCCAGTTGATTAAAATGGAATCCAGAATTTCTTAATCTGTGATAGTGATTGCTTTGTTTGTACAAATATCAAAATCTATTTTTACGTAATTTTCAACAGCAAAATCTTTCTCTACTAAGCCACGTGATATAAGCTCTTTGACATTTTCTTCAAGCAAAGGATCTTCTTCACCATTTACACTTGCAACCGGAATTTCCATTGAGATGCCTGCCTTTCTAAAACAATTTATTACAGTATTATTCGATACAGCATCCCATGACTTGACCAACATGCTCATAGCTTCAAGAGTGTTGATATTTGGGATGGTTTTACCAGCATCGATGTATTTTATCTAACGCCTCACAACATTTGTGCAATAAAAAGTCTTCAATGCCCTTATGATTCCCAATTATAAACATAGGAAGCTTTTCACCAACCTTATTTCCTGCTGCTAAGCCTGTTAAACGAAATTTGCTTAATTGTCCTCCTGCATATTGTTTACTTTTTAGATGAAAGGTTTTTAACAGTGGCTGTTGATAAAATAAACCAAACTCGTCAGCATTGTAAACACCTCTCAAGCCTTAAAATCCGCAATGTTGAGTTCTTTAGGAAAACCTAAAGCTTTTTTTCTAATGATGTGTCCACCAACCGGTACAACAGAATCATGCTTTCAACAGAATCATGCTTTCCCAAACTTAACTTTTGTCTCTTTCCTCCAAATGATTCATACTTACTAATTATGTATTTTTTATGCGTAATCCAGTAAGTTAATAAGTTTTGAGGAACACTGAACTTTTTTGCAACATTTTTTTTAGTTAGTCCTTTTTCTAAATCTTTAAGAGCAAGATATTTTTCTTTAATTGTCATAACTGTTTTCTTTTGTTTAGATGCCATGTTGAAACTTCAACCGCACTACTTTCGATGATTTTTTAATTAGATTATTTCGTTTATAATATTTTGATAACGTTTAGTAATGTTAGGTTTTAAAATCTTCAAACGAACAAAAACTTTGAATAACTGACAGAGTTTTCGCCAACGGAAGTAAAAAATTGTTTCGAATAACTGAAATTTCAAATAACTGATGGGTATTTGAATAGGTTTGTTAAGTATAATTCACGGGGAACTAAAATTTCTTCAAATAAGCGGAAAATTTGAATAAGTGCTAGTTCCAATAACCGGGAGTTTACTCTATATATATATATATATATATATATATATATATATATATATATATATATATATATATATATATATATATATATATATACATACATATATATATATATATATATATATATATACATATATATATATATATATATATATATACATATATATATATATATATATATATATATATATACATATATATATATATACATATATATATATATATATATATATATATATATATATATATATATATATATATATATATATATATATATATAGAGAGAGAGAGAGAGAGAGAGAGAGAGAGAGAGAGAGAGAGAGAGAGAGAGAGAGAGAGATACAAATATCAGCCCTCGGATTTAGGGCCAGCATTGCAAAGTCAACCTAACTGCCAACCTAGAAGTGTTTGATGTTTTATGGTAAAACCTTTGTGTCAAATTTTTTTTGTATATATATATATATATATAAAAGTTTTATTTTGATAGTTTATGGTTTAATAGTATATATACCTGGAATGGATACACCATACACAGCAACATCAGCTAACCTTACAATTCTACTTATAACTGTTTCAACTTCTGTTGTACCAACATTTTCTCCTTTCCATCGAAATGTATCTCCTCCTCTATCCTATAAAAAATATTTTTGCTCTTAGATATTTAAAATTATACCACAAAAACATTGTTATTTTGAAACAATTTTCAAAACCTACAGAGCATATACATATTAAAGTTACAAAGATGCAGTCATACTATTACCAACTGGGGTATGATTTTGATGGTGCCTAATAAGGCTGATTAACTGATCATATGTTTTAGAAAAATGAGAAGATAAAAGTCCCTGATAATTGCATAACAAATAATTCATACAACCTTATGTTTTGAGATTATAAAAATAAAAAATTTGAAGTGCAAAATTAAGAACTCTATGTTACAATTTTATCAGAGAGGGAAAAACAATTTAAAAAAACCAATATTCCTAATAAAAATAATATTATAGTTATTATTAGAATAAATAAAAAAGAAATAAATACAAACATGAGACCAAAAAAGCGAAAACTTGAGATTCACAGGTTTCAAAGATAGCAATTATTAAACTTTTCTTGATGGTAAATAGAAGCGTTGTTTTTGTTTTTTTTTAAAAAAAATAGATTGAAATATTAAAAATTGTTAAAACCTAACAAAAATTTTAGCCCAGGATAATTTCAGGCTTCATTAATCCCTATTAATATGACTAAATAATTACTTTTATTCAAGTATAAACTAAAAAAACTTGAACATTCCTGTTAAATCACAGCTCAAAAATGTTAATCTAAAACTGAGTCCTCTAGCAACATGATTTGAAAACTGGAGACCAATTTAGTGAACAATTTATGTTGGGTTATTTTTTTACTTTTTCAAGCTAGTTTAACAAGTTTTAAACTTGTTAAACTAGTTTTAACTATTTTTTAACTATTTTTTTTTTTATTCGGAAATAATAAGTAATTTAAAAGTAATTTAAGTCAAACACCAAATACAAAACAAGTTTTAATCTAAACAAACTTTAAACTAAGTTTGAGAATTTCAAGAGTTGGCTCCTTGTTAGATGTAGTGTTGAGTAATTAAAATTTGAGTTTAATTAAATCATAAATTAAATGTTTAAAAAAAAAGAAGTTTAAAATTGTTAATTGAATGTAAAGATTATAACTTTTCATACGAAGCATTCTTTGTACAACAGAAAATAAAAATAAAAAAAAATTAAAACAGAAATCATTAATTGATTGAAAATGGTAAGATAAGAATGTCAAACCCAGTGCAATAAAAAAAAAACGACATAACAATAGAAAGTAAATTGACATAAAATATCAATCTAACCCTTTGTTATTTACCTCTATGGCATTTAAATGCACCACACTCATTACAATACAAATATGTATCAGTGTCAAAATCTTTGGGTAGGGGATGTGTTTAAAATGTCTAGAACTTGTTTTAAAACATTTTAATGTTAAAATTTTAATGTTCAAAGAATCAATTTTTTTTTTTGAATATTAAAATTTTAATATTCTAGATGCAACTTCTACATAAGAAAAAGTTTCATTATTCTTATGTATTAGCTGCATCTGACAGTTCATTATGACCAACATCAAGTTCGTGAATGTATATAATTATTTGTATTGCAAATGTAGATTTGAGCGATTTCTTTTGGTTTTTTCAAAGACTTAAACCTAGACAAAACTTTACTTCACTTTGCCACTAACATGCCAAAGTTATTATAAGCATTTTCAGGGTTGGTATATGTATTTATCAAATGTTTGGCTAATTCAATTAACTCAAGTTTTTTAATGTTTCAATGTTTTTAAATTCTATTTTTAATGTATGAGTAATTTTTATGTATGCATTATTAAACTCATATATGGATATATCCACACATTATTAATAACAAAAGTAGCTGTTGATAAAGGTTATCTGGTGATTCAGTGACAGAACGCTTTGAAATATTTGAACAAGCTGTAAATTGAAAATATTTTTATGCTTTCACGGTATAAAATAATTAGCTGGGTTATTGATTTAACATTCATTTAACTGTTTTGAAATGTAAACAGCTTTTTGCATTATTATGTATATGAACTTCTTTATCCAGGAATTCTACTTGAGCTATTTGTAAAAAAAATTTCTTACATAAGATAAATTATTATTTCATATTTTGCTGAATATAATATAATTTATAATTATTATATATTATTCTATTCTAAACAATAAAAATTTGAACTAATATTCTAGTGAAAAAAAGTTTTTTCTCAGTAAAAGTGAAGTTCTGTGCTGTAAAATACATACAAACATACACCCATACATTAAAACTTTCTTATTTTAATTTGGAGAACAATAAAAGACCTGAAAATAAAAGTAGCCTTCTTCATCTTGCACAAGAATGTCACCTGAACGAAACACTGAATCACCTTTTTCAAACACATCATGAGCTATTTTCTTAGCAGTAGCTTCTTTATCTAGATAGCCATCAAACTGGTGAACAGGATCATCTAAGAATTTTTGTAAAAGAAAAATCACAAATTACTATAAAAGTAAAACATTTATTTACCATACAAACGATAAAAATTATTTAAATAAATAAATATATTACAAAATCAAAATGTATATAAAGTAAAAATTAACAATATAAACAAATAAAACAAATATATTCTGTAAATTATTTTTAATTAAGTTTGTTAATGAGTTTTCACACATTTTCTAATGATTTCATGAAACCTTTTTGAACTAGTTTTTTGGTTTTAATCATATAGTGCTTTTCATCTAATTTAAATACTTTTTTAATATATACTTGACCGATTTCTTTTTTTAATTTTCTAAAATATTTAACAAAATAAAGATTCTAAAAACATATTTAAAACTTACAAAGTATAAAAGCTTATAATTTATTTTTATAACTAGTGCTTAAAAATGGGAAAGTTTAAAAAAATAGTAACTTTCACCTGGTGTAATTAAAACTTTCTTATCAAAAATCAATGAAAACACCAGTAAAAATTAATTGGTTTTTAATATTTCTTGGTTAAACTATAAGGGAATAAATGCAAAAATTTTATAGTGAGTTTTAGTTGTCAAACACTTGTTGATTAATTACGAATCAAACAGTTTACAAGACATTTGAAAGCAGTTTCAAAAATGTTAATAAAAAGTAAATAACTTTTAATTAAAAAAAAATAAATAAAAAAAATAAAATTAATTTAAAATAAAATTAATTTAAAATAAAACTTTTAAGTAAATCAATATTGAAATAATAGTATAAAAAATTAAAAAAATGAAGTAATAGTATTTGAAATAATAGTATAAACAATTAAAAAACTGAAAAACATACAAAATTGAAAACATTTTACATTTAGTGTAAAAACTGTTTATTAATGTATTTATTTATTAATATATATTTATTATAATACTATTTATTCATTATATATAAGGGGTGAGAAAACCCATACACCATGGTTTTATTTTTGTTTATTGCTGATCTAATCAATATTTAATTTAACGTTGAGAAATTGTAAAGTCTTTAGTATTAAAACAACAAATATTGGTATATATGTAAATACATTTGTTGAAATTTGCTTGAAAATTTTTGAAAATTTTTGAAATATTTTTGAAATATTTTTAGAAAAAATTTAATTTTACTTAACTTGATATATTATTTTCAATGTAGCCATTAGACATTATTTAATTAAAAGGAAAATTAAAATCTCTGATATTAATTTCTTAATGTCAAATTTTCCAACATTTGATTGAGCATTTTTAAATATGTTATTAAGATCTATATTATCTATGTTATCAGATGGCCTGTATATGCATTCAACTAAATATTTAGATCTGCATACAGTTATTATTGTCTATACTTGTTCAATCTAACTGAAAGTAAGAAAAAATATCTTCAAATTGATAAGAATTAATTTTATTGTCTATACTACACTACAACACCTTCTTTTCTTTCATTGCTTCTATATCTTTTCTACAAGTTATAACCAGTTACATTGATGCTTAAAAATTTATTAAACCAAGTCTTGGAAACCCCAAACATATTGGGCTTATTTCTTTTTCAAACAATTTTGAATCCATCCAATTTCTTTTTAAGAGATGTAAAATTGGTATATAAGAAACTTAAATTTTTTTCATTATTGAAATTATTTTGTTTTCACAGAAATCAAATAAGAAAACTGCTTTCTCTCATTTTATTAGGTTGATCCTTTTTCTAACATAAATTAAACATAAATTAACATAATTAAACATAAATTAAACTTGTTTAATTTTTCTGCTTCTGTCAAATCTGGGTTCGCAAAAAACATTTTAAAATTCAAAATTTTAAAACTTTTGTAAAAAAGTTTTTCTCTTAGATTGATCTTGATACCCAACCAAGACAGACTGGTTTATCTGACTTGTTAGATTTTATTGTTTTTATTAATAGTGGTTTATAATCAACTTTAATACTTTGAAAAAGTTTTTAATCAAGTCTTAATCTTTAATTGTTCCTTGAGTTAGATTGCAGAAAATTAATTTGGAACCAATCAAATATAACCAAATTTTGTAATCTTTTATCTGTCTGTTAATATGAGTGTTTTTTTTTTAATTCAATGAATAAACTTTCAAAATGCATTCAGTTTTCTTTAGTTCTAAAGCATTGTAGCATCTTATTACTACCACAAGCTTATTTACCAATGTAAGTCATAGAGTTTTATACATTAGTATAGCTGTTAACTAACAAAATTCACAAAACTGAACTTGATAAACTCTTTATCTACCAAACATCACAAACATATTTCACTTTCCACTTCGTATTGAAGATTTTTGACCTTATTAAGAGCTCCCTACAAGTACCTGTTATTGCTAACTTTTTGCTAAGTACTGTTCTTGCCTATTTATTTAGTGATCGTTTCAAAATCTTTTTTAAAACTGTTTTAAAACTATGCTCAATCTTTATATATTTTTAATGTGAATTATGAAATATTTTACACTTGAAATGGTTCTATAGTCTATCAGTATAATTTTTTTTTTTATTTAATTGTTTTTTAATTTTTAACAAATTTTATATTTTTAACAAACTTTATATTAAATGGAATAAGCTGACTTACTTCTAACTTTCCCAACAAGTTCGCCTTCCTCTCCGGGTAAACAAGCTATTGCCATACCTTCATTGTCTCTTAATATTTCTTCAGTTTCTTCATTTACTTTTACTAGCCTTATGGGATAAAACCCAGGAGCAATTACGGAGTTAAAACCAACAGCTCCAACTCGGTTATCAATATTAATCATGTTGGCGTTGCCTATGTGTTTAAAAAATTATACTTAAAAAATAAACTCCAAAAATCCACTAATTCTATTAAAAAAATTTGTCAATGATAAACCAACATGTACCTTCTGTAGAAGCGTAACATTCCCCAATCACTTCAATACCAAATCTTTCTTTGAACTCTCTCCAAATCTGAGGTCTCAACCCATTTCCAATAGCTAAACGAATGCGGTGAGAACGGTCATTTTTAGAAGGAGGTTGGGCAAGTAAGTAGCGACAAACTTCCCCAATATAGTTGAACATCTAAAACAATTTGTTCTGAATTATTTAGCATATTTAGTAGCATATTTTGCATATGCAGGCTTTCCCAGGAAAGGCGTGCGACCGCACGCCTTGTTTGTCCACGCATAGAATAAATTTTTCAGAAAATGTGACCGCTGCAATATTTCGTAAGAAAGCGGAAATTATCCATAGTGAATAAAAAATAATATTAAAAAAATGAAACGAAGTCTAAACAAAGTATAAAATTGAAATTGGATGTAAGAAAAATATTTTGATAATAAAAAAAAATTAAAAAAAAAAATTCTTGTAACAAAAAAAAAAGTCTTGAACATTTTTTTCAAAATTTTATACTGTTTTTGTTTTCTTTTATTAGGGTTGCTATTTTCAGCTACGAAATTTGATACAAGTCAAGGAAAAGACGACAATAAGTCATAAAGTTTTTACGAAAATAAAAAGACTTGATACGTAATTTATTCACGAACTTTATCAGACAATGTATTAAAAAACTGATTCATTATTTATGCTAGACAAATTTGGTTAAACTTTTTCATTTAATTTAGTTTTTACGAAGGTTTATGCAAAGACTTTATTCCCCAATACTTAGACAAGAAAATAAATTGCTGTTTTAATTATTAAATATATTATTTGAGATTTTAAACATAACAAAATTTTAATGTGAAAAAAGTTCTTTCTAGACTTATTCTAAACTGATTTTACTGAGTCAATGCTCGCCTTTTATTACGTTGAAATTATTCAATTGCATAATTTTGTAATTAAGAAAGAAGTTAAAAAAATAATTGCATTGCTTCTGTTGTCATTGTTACGAAAACAGTTCCTTCGGGACATTATTATATATTAACACTCGTTCACAATGTCAATTAATGATCGCAAAATAAGCAACTCAATCGTTTGACAATAACATTTTCTTTCATTTTAAAAAAAAAAAAACATATTTTACTAATAAATAGCAATCGTTTTCGTGTTTTCTTATGTATCAATACATTCATACATTAAAATCAATACATTTAAATATTTAAATGTATTTACGAAACATTTAAAAATTGTTTATAGTTCTATCGTAAATTTTAAAGTATTACTGACTGATAAAAGTCATAAACAATATTTACATTAAAAGGTCCTATTATTTACTTTAAACATTAATCTTTTTCTTTCTGACTTGATTTTTCTCATTGATCCGATTTTTCATAGCTTAAATAACTACCACCCTAAATAAATAAATAAAGTATAGGTAAATTTTTTTTTTAATAATATGCATTAATTTTTTAATTTTAAAGCACAAACAGATTTCTGTTATTCACTTTAAGATTGCTTGCATTTTTGCGGTATTTTCGTTTAGCTTTGTTTTGGCGCGAATTCTTGAAACGCATAATAATAAAACGTGGTCAGTTAGTCAGAAAAATTTATTCTATGCGTGGACAAACAAGGCGTGCGACCGCACGCCTTTCCTGGGAAAGCCTGCATATGATAGTTGCAAAATATGCTACTAATGATAGTTGTTAAAGTACTTGTACTTTAACTTCGGTGCATGTAAAACCATGTAAACATGTCACCAAAAAATCTATTTTGACCTTATATATATTGGGTTGTAAATAATAAAAAAAAAGTTTAAAAAATTAACCGTTGCTCCGTGTATAGCACATTCACTAAAAAAACGACTAGCTGAAAATTTTTTGGCTACAACCACTGTTGCACCCTTATATATCATCATTCCAATACCACCAACACCACCATTAGAATGATACAATGGGAGTGCAACATAATTTATGTCTTTATTAGTCACTTTAAAAGATATTGCCATTCCATTCACCATGTAATAAAATCTAAAAAAAAAATTAAAAGATTATTTCAAAGTAACAATAGTTATATGTTTTAATATTTTTAAACATCTACTTTGAAAACTTTAAATTAATATTATTTTAAATATATTATTTTTACTTTAACAATAAACTGTTAAACCTAATATTTTAAAACAACAATAAGAACTACAACAACAACAACAAGAACAACAACAAGAACCTATTTTTTTCAACCTCCCTACTTGTTAACCTTTCTACTTAAAAAAAAAAATAGAGAAATTAAAATCATGGATTACATGATTTTGAAATTATCCTTGAAATGTAATTTTTTTTTTTTTTTCATAATTTGCTTCCTTTCAAGATTCTAATTTTTATATAATTTTCTTTCTTTCTACAAAACAGGCCTCAATTACTCTTAAATTTTAAACTCTCTCAATCCTAAACTCCAAAATACAAATCTTTAAAAAAAAAACAGGTTGAGAGCAGTACCTAAAACTACAGAGGTAATAAACTTCCAGAATAGTGTGAGTTTGAGCCTTGAATCTTTTACTCATGAGCCTAGTGTTCTACCAATGGTCTGCTATCAATATGGTCCAAATTTTTGGTCCAATTTTTTTGGTCATTTTGGTCATACATATTATCTAAGAATCATGTATACATAGTATACATGATTCTTAGATGATATATATGATTCATAAATAAAAGACACTTAAACATGTTGAATCATATTATGTGTTTAAGTGTACGGATCCTTTCATTAATACTGAGAAAATTATTTATTATTATTAATAGAGATCTAGATATGCATTCTGAGCAAAAATCAATAAATAAAGTATTATTATTATTAACATTTATGATCATAAATAATTTTTAAATTGCGTCTAAACTATTTTTTCAAACTTTTGATTGTATTTTGATTGATTAATTAAGAAAAACTTTATAATTCCAATCAAGGAAACTTTAAACATCTATAAACCCACATAAATATAGTTTATCCTGTGCAATCAATATAGCTTGAACATTAAAAACCTGCAAAAAATGACATAATAAAATGAAAGCTTTAAATTGGTGGTGCACATGCATTTTTTGTGGGAACCTTCAAAATCTCTCAAAATAGAAAATAAGACATTTTATATTTTTCAAGGTATAGTTATGAAACATAATATTTTATATAAATGCAAGTATTCCAATAAAGGCTCTGTTTCAATTTTAGCAACTTCCCCCCCCCCTCCTCCCCCTCACCTCCATATTCTCCCTTTCAGTACTTTAACTGTTTAACTTTCCCCTATTTATGTCATAGTACTTGACATGATCTTAGACAGAGATTAAGAATAAGGAGTGAGTATTGGACAAGGTTCATCAGAAGATGGTTAAAGGTAGTTTGGATATATTGAGAAATGAGGGTGCAGATGACTTAAGTATCAGTATGTAGAAAGGTAGCAGCTTCAGGAAGAAAAGGTTAAGGCAGATAAAATAGACTTGAAGAGAGTATTATGATGATGATAACAATGATGTTGGAGTTTTTAAAACAGTAAATGCGGGTTGGAAACCAATTATAGAAGTTTACTAGATTATAAATTTCTGTTCAAGTTTTGAGCCATGCTATAAGACCTTATTGCAAATAAAGGCTTTAAAGCCTTTATTTGAAAATGCACATAGTGATTTTGAAAATACAGGTTTTGAAAATACTTCGACTCAATCATTCAAATTCTAAAACTGCAATCAGGGCTCAACCAATACTTTTCTAGATGTAACAAATAAAAAAATTGAGAGCTGTTCTTCGGAAAATTGTTCTTCTGAAAAGTCTACCAATCACAATTTTTACTTGAAAAGACCAAATGGACAAATTCAAAAAACTCTTTCAAGAAAAAAACTATTACTCAAAAAACTAGATAGCATCAAAAATGTCGCTAAACAAACATCTTTTGAAGTTAATAAATCAGTGCACAGTGTGCTTAGAGATAAATTAAAGCCTCTTTCCGGTAATAAAGAGAAGGGAACAATAGTTAAAAGAATAACAAGTAATAATATGACTAACTATCTGCAATGGCTCAGGATGAAGTTACACAAGCTCTTAAAAAAAAAAAACTAGGTGAAAAAGAAGCCAGAAAAGTTATTAAAGAAAAAAAAATTAGACTCAGGAATTCTCAAAGAGCAAAAGTTTAAAAAAAGAAGAAGGAAAAAAGCTTTTAAAACTTAAGAAACCCTGAAAACGATCTCAGAAATATAATAAAACAACAAAGATGTCTACTAGTCAAAATATTGAGTGTCTTTCTGTCACCAGCTGTAATCCCTATCATATCAATTGTCTTCAGATTTCTTTCGGAACCCTTTGGGACAAAGTTACAAGCAGCAAATGGGTTGCATGTGAAAACTAGCTGTGTATTACTTGTATTATCAATTATCATGAAACAATTAAATTCTTTTAAATGAATTTTAATAATTCATAAAGTTTTTTTATTTTTAAATTCTAATCTTTATTATTTTACACTGTAATCTTGTTTTAAAGTCTTTTCCTTTTTAAGAATTCTTTTAAAGTGAATAACTGTTATTAGTTTTAATTTTTGTAGGTTTATGTTTTAAAAAAATATTTTTGGAAAACTAAAACTTTTTTATTAGTTTTTAAAAAATTATCAAATCATACAGTACAGCTAGGGTTGCCACCTCCAGATGAATTAATATTCATTTGGAGATGGCAAATGTAGCTTTACTGTACAGATTTGATAATTTACATATAACAGACAAATACAGATACATTGCTGTGATACTATTTAACAAAAACTGAAATACAATAAAATGGCGTCGTTATAATAATGGAGGGTTATAAAATAAAAATCTTAAGGTAGATAAAAAAAATTAAGGGAATACTAAACAATGTTTCAGTCCTTGAATTACTTCCATTACAAAATACAACTGCGTGAGAGATAAAAAAAAACTGCATTGCTAAATGGGAAAAAAGCACTACAAGCTTCCTATTTGATTGAGGGGGGAGCATTCGCTAAGGCTGTAACCAACCTGATACTAAAAATTGAGATTTCTGCTGGTTAACAGTGGTTAACTGACAGAAACAGACAATGACAGTAAAGGTTTTTTGTTTTTAAACTGATTACAAAAAAAAAAGGAAAACAGGATCTAATAAATAGATAATGCACACTCTGTACCAACACAATGTTATAGCCTTACATTAAAATATAAAAGTAATTTTAAATTTTAAAAACTTTTTACTTAACTCTAAGCTAGATGTCTACGAAGTATAAATTATTTACTGTTTTTAATTGAATGCCATTTTTTGAGATTTGATATGTACATTTGGAATTAGGATTTATATTATATATCAACAACAAAATTCAATTTGAAAACTTGAACTATTTTTAATAATTTTATAAACAAACTTTTAAAATTTCAAAGCACTGTATTAACAAACTAATATAATTAACAGTATTAATATAACAATATAAATAGTTATAAATAATAAATAAACTAAAAACATAAATACTTATTATCTTACAAATAAATGATTGTATATAAAATTGCTGGTATAAAACTAATTTCTTTTTTAATATCACTAATTCCAGCACTTCACTTAAAATCAACGATTTCATCATTTCTATAAATAATAATAATAATATTTTTTGCCAGTTAATAGTGGTTTGCGCAACAATTACTGTTTAAAATTTTTTAAAGTTTTTTTGTTTTTGTTTCTTTTATAACGTTAAAAGGTAGATGATATGTGTTATTTTTCTACTGCCTACTAAAAAATAATGAAGGAATTAAAATTATATTGTTTTATTATTATGTATTTTTGAATTAAACTAAAGTGTTGAATTAAAGATATTGAAGATATAAGTACAGGTATAAGTGTAGAAATGATCAGTGTATAATAGACCTAGGTCCGGAAAACTAGTTATATACATAATAGCAAATAAAAATTGCTTTGAATAAAAAATTGAATAAAAACTTTAAATAAATAAAAAATATATAAAAAAAACTTTTTAAAAACAACATTTTAAAAATGGATTTAAAAGTAAAAAAAAAACTTTTACAAGGATAGAAAGAACACAACCTAATACATCCATTAAAGTCAATTACTCAAAATTTAGGGCGTCAATAGAAATGAGTTACTTAGTTGCCAAACGAGTACTCAGTTGCCCAACATACTTAGTCATTGACTTTAATGGATATTTCAGGTTGTATATGTAAACTAAGACCTTGGGTGCCGTGTAGTTTATTTTTTACTTTTTTATCCATTTTTAAAATGTTGTTTTAAAATTTATTTATTTTTATATATTTTTTTTATTATTGAACAACAACTCTATTTATTTACGCTAAACTTTATTTATAAAGTTTATTGTTTATTTTAATTAGTTTTTTTAAGGATTTCTTTTATTTACACTAAACTAAAATCTGTTTTGCATTGTTTGATATAATTACTTTTTTAAACGATTTCTTTTATTATTACCACTGACCTCGTATTTGTATTGAATGGACACCAACAAAAAAAAATAAATGTACTGATAAGAAAGCAAGTTAAATAAAATATTGTAAAAATTAGTATGGTTCTTTAAATATTTCATAATCTTTTTTTTAAATTCAATTTGTTTATTATAACACTTGATATTTGATTTTAAATTAAAAAATAGTATTTAGACACTTTTGAATAATGTTATATATATTTTGTGCCATTTTTAATTTGTTGAGAGAAAAGCTAGATACTTAAGTTAAGAGCTTATTCAAAAATAAAAGAATTCTTGAAAAGAGATTCTTGAATCAGATAAACTGCTTGGTTCATTATATGATCAAATTAAGTTGTTATGAAAAATCTAGAAGAATATATATTTTTTTCATAGATTGCTTTTCCTACTTTCTGCAAAACTTTTGGATTTTTTGCTTTTTTTCTATCTTAGTTTTAAATGGTGTCATTTTTTTAGATTTTCTTTTTTCTATTTACGAGATAGATTTACCTTTTAAAAAAACTACACATTATAAATTTGAATAGTAATAAATAATAGCAAATATTTTATCTA